GTCAGGCATACTGTAGTCGTGGGGTGGTCTCCCAAATGCGCAAAATATTCTTCCGAAGAGTTCAGGTGGGAATAATTTGCACGCTCGTCTGATCCAGTGCACCGTACTAGTTGCCTTCTGGACTGCCTTTTTACAGTGCTCTGATAGCAGCAAGTTTGCGGTTGCCCACACACCTAGAATTTTGTGTGTTTCCACCTCTTTCAATTCGGCCCATTTATCAAGTTACTATGTTTCTGCGACGCTTTGCGACCGGGGCTAATCTGAAGGACCAGGCACTTCGTAAAATTAAACTAAGGAAACCACGTGGACGACCACATAATCAGTTTGTCGATGTTCGATTGTAACGTCTTTGCGTCGTCAGTGCAGCTTAACTCTGCCCATATTTTTATGTAATCTGCAAACATGACAACTGCGCAATCTAGGCCAGCGAGGCAGTCGTTTACGTAGAACAGGAAGAGTAACGGGCCCAAAACAGAACCTTGTGGTACACCACTTTCTGCTTTTGTCCATTTCGAGAAGGCGACCCTCCGTTCTCTGAGAGACAAGAAACTGCTGATCCATTCAAACATTTTTCCTTTAACTTCCGCGTTCCATGTCTTCTATAAAAGAAGCCTGTGTGGTACACTGTCAAAGACCTTCTTGCAGTCTAAAAATGTGACATCGATTCGATGGCCCTTATCAGTGGTCATTGTCCATTTCTCACGTGAGTAAAGAGCACTCGTGAGGCAAGAACGCCCTGGAATAAAGCCATGCCGTCCATCACATATTATTTCATTTCTTTCCAGGAATCCCATAAAGTGCCCCTTGACAATGCGCTCCGTTATTTTACACGTGATACAAGTAAGACTGAAAGGGCAGTAGGTTGCGGAATCCAGTCGTGGACCTTCCTTATAAATCTGAGTGACGTTTGCCCACTTCCATTCTTCCTGGAGTTCGTCTTCTTCAAAAGACCTTTGGAAGATAGCAGCCGGAGGTTTGCACGGGTTGCTAGCTAGTTCTGTTAGTGCGAGTGCAGGCATTTTATCCGGCGCAGGTGATTTAGCAGGCCTAAGACGGAATAATTCGGCCCTGACTATGCCCTGTGAAAACTATAGGTCCCCTATTTTGGGCAATGAGGAGGAGGGTAGGGGGTGGAGATATCTGTCGACGAGCGGACGGACCAGAAGCGAGATAAATAGGTTCAAAGATGTAGACGGACTTGAAGAAATCGGAGAAAAGGTAGGCTTGCACCTGATCTTCGGTTGCCACTTGTCCATCTACTGATGGTAGGGCAGGGATCATTTCCTGAGATCTTTTTCCACAACAATAAGCGTTCCGAACACTCAACATCAGGATTCCGTATAACTGCATTATATTTGTTTATTAATTGCCGGTTTACAGGCAATTTTAAAAATTGGGTTTATTGGTAAAGCACCGCCAACCCAGTCACCTCAACACCTACCGACATACTGTCTGCCCTGCCCCTGCCATCTGCACGCCACCCACAAACACGCGGACTCGCAAACCATGACGCACCTCACACGTCACTGATGTAGCTGTTCTGTTCGCTTAAACTGTCTAGTGTAATCTTATTCTCTCACTTTCTTTTATTTCGTCTGATGAAGAGCAGGTGTCACAAGCTCGAAAATGCACAGGTACATCTTGGTTCTTCCGAAGAATCCCTTCCTTTCGTCACTATGTTGCTCAAAATGCATACCTCCTCTGATCTAAAACATATGTTTTGACGTCAAAAGCTTATCCTCACAGGACGTTGGTAAGAATCTGCACAAAGACAGACGGTGACCTTTGAACAGCTGGCCCTTCTTCATCGCTGTCATGACCACGGCGTGTTACGGAAGTGCGTTCTTTTTAAACCAAAGTTACTGAATGAAATTGAAGATCTCTTGTGCGCAAATACGGCTGGCGCGTCTTGAGCGTCATTATACCTGATGTCCACAATAGTATTCGCATGCCCGAAGTAACAATCACTGCCCTTCAAAATCAGAGCACGCTAGCCTTACCCGAAAACGTAATCGATGACGTACAGCAAAGAATAACTGCCACCATCAAAGATGCGAAAATGAAGAGAAAAGCCAATCTCAAATAATATGTTTATTATGTCAGCTTACAAGCAATTGTAAAGAGTTGGTAGAGCACCTCTTGGGCGCCTTCCAAAACCCCGAAGACAGG